CAAAAAAAGTGGAGTATCCCTTTAAGAAAAGGTTCTTTGGGGAACCAAAAATGGTTATTTTATGGCATCGCTGCCCCTTTTGGAGTTTTCTTTTTAAAGAGAGTCTAGTCTACTTTACAAGCCCTAATTCAGTGACAAAGTCTGGCAAGCATCAATGTAAACATATATATGCTATATGTATTTATGCATGGCTTTCTTGTGGAGCATGATTAATTTGTGCAATTGGGAATATGATAAAACGGTTATGTAATCGAAAAGGGCTTAATTTCTGAACACAACATACATTGCAGTTCTGCTCTATCTGAGATGGAAGAAAGCATAAGTCTCAGGAGGTTATGCCTCATTGGAATAATAAGGCGGATGAGGGATTTGAACCACATGCTACTGAAAAAATGCTTTAAGCAGTAATTCCCCTGAGCTCTTTGCTAAGATCTTTTACACTCCAGAAGTCGTTTCTTTTTTTATATCAAAGGAATATTAACACATCGAACTTCATATACAAACAGAAAATTCAAACATGCCCTTCAGAACAGAAGGATAGGGGAAGATGACACTATTAAAAGAAATGCACAGCAAATCTTGGGCACATCTCAAGAGAAAGAGAGAGAAAAGGAAACTATTTATAGTGCAAACACATGAAAAAAAAAACATCAAATAAATGCACCAGGGGAAAAAATGCTGCATTATCATTTTTAAAATGTAATCCTCAATTGGAATGCTGAGAGAGTCAAATTTCTGCCACTTAAGATCACTTGAGCTCCCTTTAAGGGTTAACATTCCCCTTCCATCTCAATTCATCCACTTTAGCACATTTCCTGAAGACAACCAGAATGGGTTCCTCTCCAGGATTCAGCTGTGCTTACTCCCCGAGGCCTGTGAGAAATGCCTCTGCTTCATTATTCTGTTCCCTGCTCCATGTAGTAGACAGCAGGAGCCTAAACTGCAGAGGACATCTCCATACTGAATGCAATATTGGCACTTGGGTTTCAGCGAGATGACAACACGTTCACTCGGGCGCTTAAAATGCATAAAATATCTCGTGAACACATCAATTAAATCACAGTGGGCCACTGAATAATTCTTGGAAAACAGCCTCAAGTGTTTCCCATCAGCTCTGTTTTTCTTTATTGATGCAGATCAGGGTCCACAGAAAAGAAACAGAGGGTCAGATGAAGATGCACACCAGTGCTCCTTCCTCTAATATGCACACAAATGGTCAAATGATAGAGCCATCATGATGCATCCTGATCTTCAAGCAGAAGGACCTGGATGAAATACCCTGAATAATATCCACATTCTGGCTAGTGATTCTGCCTGAATTATAACCACACCATGTTCGTTTATTTGTCCAGAGGAGAACTGGTCCCCTGACGGAGCCCAGGTTTTTTCTCCATTTCTGTCGCGAAAGAGTTTGGGTTTCTCTGTCGCCTTTGGCTTACTTAGTTGGGCACACTTAAAGGGATAGTTAACCCAAAAATTAAAATTAAGTCATTAATTACTCACCCCCATGCTGTACCAACCCCGTAAGACCTTCGTTCATCTTCAGAACACAAATGAAGATATTTTTGATTAAATTTGAGAGGTGGATCACTGCTACATAGACTGCCTAAGGGATCGAAACTTGACGGCCCAGAAAGTCATTGAAGAAAATGTTTAAATATTCCATGTGACAACAGTGGCTCAACTATAAGTTTATCAAGCGACGCAAATACTTTGTGTAGTCTCAGGCCTACAAGGAAAAAAAGGAATAGTGGAATTAAGTTGTTATTTTTGTTTGTTTTTTCGCACAAAAAGTATTTGTGTCGCTTGATAAACTTATACTTGAGCCACTGTTGTCACATGGAATATTTAAACATTTTCTTCAATGACTTTCTGGGCTGCCAAGTTTCAATCCCTCAGGCAACCTATGTAGCAGTGATCCAGCTCTCAAATTTAATCAAAATTATCTTCATTTGTGTTATTTGTGTCGCTTGATAAACTTATACTTGAGCCACTGTTGTCACATGGAATATTTAAACATTTTCTTCATTGACTTTCTGGGCTGCCAAGTTTCAATCCCTCAGGCAACCTATGTAGCAGTGATCCAGCTCTCAAATTTAATCAAAAATATCTTCATTTGTGTTACGAAGACGAACAAAGTTCTTTCGGGGTTGGTACAGCATGGGGGTGAGTAATTAATGACTTAATTTTCATTTTTGGGTGAACTAACCCTTTAATTTTCACTACTATTATTGATTCGACTGCACTGACACTATTAGATGAAAATGAAACTTGAACTGCATTGAGCTGAATGATGGCATCATCACTGGTTTCTGCAGAGCTGACTCAGCTTTGTTTCATAATTGACGATTTTTGCGACATTGACAATGTCATTAAACTGAATGGAATCAACTGAATTAAGCTGAATAGTGACACTATTGTCTTCTGTAGTTTTGCTTATGGCTGAATTGAACTCATTTCATAATTAATAACCTTTACACAGTTATCTAATTGAACTGAATCAACACTGAACCGACTTCGGCTGAATAATGCCGCTATTGTCTTTTTTTGTTGCTGCTTTCCAGCAGAATTGAATTCTGTTTGCATCACTGATCATTATTTTCCTGTTTATACTGTCAAGTCGGTTACAAAACCGTATAAAGATGAAACTACTGTAACGAAATCAACTCAAAAAGTACATTAAACTTGATTTTTACTTAACATTTAAAAATGCGGTATTCACCACAGCACGCAGCCTCTCAGCTCTCGGCTTTAAACACACTCATTTAAACAATCTACAATCCTGATGACATCTGCTGTTTGTTTTACTGTTATAATTGTATAATAAATATGTGCATACTAAAACAGCCAGTGAAAATGATAAGAAATAAATGCAACACATTGCATTAATCGCAATTTGCATGTTATGACAGTATTAAAGTTCCTGATCTTCACTAGAAACTGCAGAATGACAAGACCTCATCAATATTAATGAAAGCGAATAGATAGATGGACCAAATTTCACATACATTAGAAGAACAGAAATTGAATAAAGAGTCCCTGAAGAGAGAAGTCAGTAAGTAGCAGTCAGTATGTGGTGTTTCCATCAGATGCTTTAAGTTCTGCAGTGCATTTAGTCTTCAAGGACTGAGCCAGATTTGCTAGTATTTGCTGTTACTCCACTCTTCCACCAAGCTCCCAAAAACGTCTGGGAGGACATATGATTACACATGATTTAGCACTAGCAAGCACCATGAGCTTTCTGTCTCCCTGCACTCTCTTGGACATCTTACATTATGGTCATTTCAGTTTATTGCACTGGCCACCTCTGCTGTCCTCATGCCTCCTGTAGCGGGACTATGACATGTTCATATATGTAATCTTATGGTGTTTCAGTGGAATGGTCTCTTTAATGTCCAAAGCTATTAGAACTGTGACATTATTTTCTTCCGCCTGTAAACTGTTAGTGCCTCAAGGACTGTCCCACAGGTCCTGAAGTAGGGTTGTTTTTATATTTAATTCTATATTTAATATATAAATGTCTCTTCTTCGGGACCTGTGGGACAGTCCTTGAGGCACTAACAATTTACAGGCAGAAGAAAATAATGTCAGTTATAATATATACTGTATATAACCGAAAATTATAGGCCAAAGTGTAACACGGGCTGAAAAGTTGAGGAGAAAATATATTTCTAATTTAAAATATGATATAAATAATTTTTAAAAAGCGTTCTCGGTTTCGGGCCAATCCAGAATTTGTATATATATATTCATTGTATATATACACACAGTATATATAGTATATATATTTGTGAAGGATAATGTGATGGCTAAAGATTGGAGAAATTAAGCATCACTGGAATAAATTGTATCTTAAAATATTTTAAAATAGAAAACAGTTATTTTAAATTCTAATAATAATAATAGTTAACAATGTTACTGTATTTTCGATTTGCAATCTTTATGAGCACAAGAGACTTTCAAAAAAAAATGTTTTTACTCACACATTCACATGCTCCAGAGTTGAGAATTGAGTCAGGAGATCTAGTACATTTTAAAGGAAGCGTTTTCCAGCAGTGGATCTGGTTAACTGCCTTAAGTCAGGATTTAAAGGATTAGTTCACCCAAAAATGACAAATCTGTGATCATTTGCTCACTCTCATGTCGTTCCAAACCCATACGTCTTTTTTTCCCCCTATGGATACACAGAAGCAGACATTTTGAATAATTATTCCGGCCACTCATTTCTATACAATTATTTTGACTTTCAAACTGGAAAGAGGAAGTAAACAACCTGGATAAAATTATTCATAAAAAAAAAAAAGATTCAAAATGATAAGTTTGTGAACTCGACATTTTTACTTGTCCCACATATGACAAAGGGAGCTAGGATTTCAAGATTTCCAGTAAATAATAACTTCATTTTGGGTCCATGCAAGACATAAAACAATTTGACTTTACAAGACTTGCAATTTAGCACACGTCACATTTCCTTACAAAAAGCAGAATTTCATTGTACCAAGTACATAAGATCTTAAACTTGAACTTTTAGAATATAGAGTTCTAAAAGCAGAATTTTCTGAACTTTTCCTGAAGTTTGGGTTTTCTATTATTCCTTTTAAAAGTCTCAGAAATATTGCAATACAAATACTGCCCTCTTGTGGACTTAAAAGCTCATATAACTACCAATTAAACAGAGTTATATATCATTATCACAGAGGAAAACTGCCAAGCAACAGATTGACATCAGTTCTATTTTCTTTCAGTTTCTATTTTTGGCTGTTTACCAAGGAAAGGAGAGAAAGAGGTGATGAGAGAGCTTCATGATTAAAAAAAATTTGACTTATGGCTGTAACAAAGGTTATGCAGTTTTGATGCACAAAGTACAGCAAAGAGCTGAATGTCAACAGCTTCTCTTACGTCTGCCTCTTGTTATCATATTGAAAGAACAGAACGCTCAGTATATGTGGAGATGGTGAAAAGACCAAAGAATGATCTTCATATCAAGAACTGCAAGTACATACATTCCAGATGGGTTTATTATAAGTTGGGAAAACACTTAATGCAACAGTCACACCAATTATTTATTGGTGAGAAAATAATTTTATCTTAAATGTAGCCAGACAATATGAAAGAATGTTTGCTTTTTTTGGACAAAAGGTATTTTCAGCAAAACCATCCCAACATTAATACCAAATTTTATGTGACAACAGAAGGTGATTGTAGCAACGAAAAGCAAAAAGGAGATCTGAGTTCATTTCTCCCTCTCTTTATAACACAACCAGGTATGTGATTACCAAAGCAGAAACGCAGACATTCAAAGCATTAAAAGTGTCATCTGATGCCTAAAGGAAACCAAATCTCTCCGCAAACACGGAACTACTGTGGGAATACTTTGCCAAACAACCACATTTGCTTCATTTACATGTTAAATATTTCATAAAGTCAAATCATTTGGAAATATACATGACACGATAAAAGAAATCTAAATAAGTGTATTTGCCATTTCAATAAGCAATGCGTGACAGACAGTTAATTAAGCTGCCAGACATGTTTGTGTTTCCCAACACAATGCCCATTATCAAAGTAACACATGGAGACATACGGCTACCTTATAACATATTTAGCCAATGGGGAAACAATTGCTTAAATCTTTGGAATGGTTTGGCAAAAGCAAAAATTTTGCATTTAGAGCTGGTGAAAAGCCATTCAGTGAGGACGGACAAAACTGGTAGTGACCTTTGTGCCCATATTATTTGTATTATTGTATGAGTATCATGATGCTGGTTTGACAGAATGACTGAAAAATGAGTTATTTTTCAAGCAAAACCTACTTCTAAACACACTCTGACTAATCTGAACATCAATATATGACAGATGTAAACATCTTTAAATAACCAAAGTGAGAAATTACTTAATTCTAAGTAGATACATGTAGCACCATTTGTCCCTTTGATTTGTCCCTTGGTTCATGTGGATACAGAGCCGTCTATACCTAGAGAGCCATCGCTTTATGTGCGGGATATCACACTTTTTTTGTTATTTTTATTCCTACAAATAAAACTTTTGTACACTAAGACAAACAAATGATAAATATCTGGTCACTTGGATCTCACAAAAAATATTTCAACCCAAAACCAAAAGATAAAAAATGGAAATTATTCTCAAATTCTCCTCAAATTCTCTTAATTTGTAATATAAACATACACTGTAATAAATACACAGTATTATAATACAATCAAAATTATTTTTATTCAAATTTAATAAACAAAATTTGATTTTTAGTACTATATAATTGTAAAGTATAAGTTAAATATTTAAAATATTAGAAAATGCAAATAATATATATATATCAATATATCACACTACTGTATAAATTGATAATTAATTGACATGAAAATAATTCACATTGAAAAGAAACTAATTTTCCTTATGCAAATTTATTTTCTTTTGATTTTGGGTTAAAATATGACCCAGACATGCCCTTTGCACAAATTAATCTCATCATGGCTAAATTGGTGTGAACGAAACTCACACATGCATCATTCAGTATAACTTTAACACTCATGCATCCTAATAAGACAGTTAGACTACACTTGGTGTTTCAGGAAATCTGGTCCTGATTACTAAAACATTTATAGACATAGTGAAGATTGTTTTTGTTTTTTTTTCTCTCTCAAATCCCAAAAGTGGTTCAATATCTGCTTCTACAATATGCAACCAAAAGATAATCATATCTGAAATGTTATGTATGCGTGTATACTATTGTTACAACACATAAACATGGTTGTTGTATTGAGTGTGTGACAGTAAATTCCTTAAAGTGCAAAGTAGTAATGTTTGAAATACAACAGAAATGTAAAAAGTAGAGAAAGAACGCAGGAAGAAATAAGTGAGAGAGGGGAAATAAGTGTATGAAGGTGTAAAGCGAGATGTTTTCAGTCCAGAGGCACCTCTCTCAGATTTGTTGGGTCAGCTGTAACTGTGGCCTGTTTGGACTCTCTCATCTTATCTAGGCCAAACAGCAGGTCCAGTTGAGTCACGGGCCTCAGCTGCGTGCCGTCCAAATGCCTGAGGACACACCAGAGGACACCAGGGACAAAATCAGTGACATGAGTTTTGCTAGAATTTAGTGAGTAATATACATTCACATTCACTCCTATATATACATAGCACTTCAAAACTCTGAAGAATATCTTGAATGGTTTCTCTTCAAACAAAACTTGAAGATGAACCAGCTGAGCAACTACACTGTTTATGACTTTTTTGAATTGTGACATTATTTTCATGTCAAATCATTTTCAGTATTTATTTTACGGCAATATACAAAGTGAAATAATATTTAAATTCACCATGAAATCATAATGCACAATTCTTTTTTTTTTTATGGAATCTTCCAGTATTTATTATAGATTATTTATCTGTTTTTTTTTTATTTATTCTCATGCCCTCTTAATCTTTAATCAACATAACTTTCCGTAACATAACTTTAATCAATACTTGCAGCTTCATCTCTTCTCTGATGAAATGTATACTGGCGTGAGGGCGGGACAACTTGTCACTCACATGAGATCCACCAACAGCAAACCACAACCATCTAACGATCCAATCAATTCCCGAAGAACAAAATCAAGTCCCATCCTACATTTGTTCTTGTTCGAGAAGCCGTTTCACTCATGTAAATATATAAATAAAGTATATATATATATATATATATATATATATATATATGAAGAGTTCAGATGCAAAAGCCTCTAAATGCCATTTGAAATTTTCTTCTTTAATGATGATTTTTATCAAACTTGTATATTTAAGTTCAGTAATTTCACTTAAATAACAATTAATAGGTAATTATCATTGCTATTTAAGTGAAACCATTGAATTTAAAAATACAAGCTTGATAAAAATTATCATTCTAGAAGAAAATTTCAAATGGCACTTAGAGGCTTTTGCATCTGAACTCTTCATATATATATATATACTGTATATATAATATAATAGGGACTACCGCAACATCCTTTTCAAGCCATCTTTAAATTACATTATATTTAACACATTTACACAGCATCTCAAAACACACCAGAATACCTTGTTGTTGTTTTTTTAATTTTTTTTTTTTACTTCTAACAAAACAGGGTAATGAACCAGCTACTTGAGATTAATGGGATAGATTTCAGATAGAGATTATAGACCTCTTTGGTTAGGACGTGATGTGAGAGCTGCATTTCGTCCACACCAAAAATAAAATGCTAACATTGTGTGTGTATTATAAAAAGCATCTTAGACATACTCTTCCTCTTCATCCAGCTGGAACTGTTGTGCGATCTGTTTCATCTGCAGTTTGCGGACATAGTCTCTGACGCGGTACATGGCGGCGTCCCTGCACAGCTCTTTCAGATCACTGCCGGAGTAGCCCTCAGTTTGCCCCGCTATTTCCTTTAGGTTAATCACGTTACTTAACTGATGAAAAATAGAGATTCAAGTCAAATTATATATATATATATATACAACCATTCAAAACTATTGCAGTCAGTTTTTTATTAAGCAAGGGTGTATTAAATTGATCAAAAGTGGCAGTAAAAACATTTATAATAACTTTTTTATTCATCAAAGAAACAATCAAAAAATGTCACGGTTTCTACAAAAATTAAGCTGCACAACTTTTTTTCAACATTGAAAATAATAAGAATTGCTTCTTGAGCACCAAAATCATATTAGAATGATTTCTGAAGGAACATGTGTGTGACATTTTGATGAAATAAATGCAGCCTTGATGAGCATAAAATACTTCTGTAACATTATAATAAGGTCTCATCTGTTACCTTTCTTATCAAACTAACCTGATCTAGCAGTGAGCAATACATATCTTTATAACATTTATTAACCTTTATTAATGTTCATGTTAGTTCACAGTTCATTTACTAATGTTAACAACTTTTGATTAGCATTGAAATTTTAAAAATGGAGCCAAGCCTAAAAAGGCTAAATATTTGGTGGTCTTTTAATGGTCTTATTCATTTTAATCACAAATCACTGGTCAGGAAATAAGCAAAAAAGTTCACAAATACAGTAGATTAAAGCAACACCAAGTAACTTTTCCTCTGCGGTCGCCCTACAGGTTGGAAGCGGAATTGTCCATTACTGCTGTTGTGAATAATTTAGCTTACCGCATCCTACTGTTGCACGCGCATACACGCACATGCTCTCTGTTTATTTAATCATGATGACAATTCAAAAGCTACTTGGCTGCTAGGTATCTTACATGACGTACACTGTCGAGTACGCTCCAAATTTGTAGTTTTCTTATGTCTCATACGAACTACAGAAATGCGACCCGGTGGCATAAGTGCAATTCACCATATCACGACTTGATGAATCACTGAAACGATTTTAAAAACATTATTGCAGGTAAAAAATCTTATTTAGTGTTGCTTTAAGTAATTAAACACATAATTAGCCAAGCCTTTGTTTTTTTTAAATGCTTAAGCTGTGTGGGTGAATGTGCAGACATTTTTTTTTTACAGGAAGAAGATTCAGTGTTGTTCTACTCAGTGTTAATGGCTTCGAGCATGTTTATGAGTAGTTGAAAAATGTCTTACAGTTTGAGTTTAACGTGAGACCAAATACTCACTATCCCTATAAATTAATCACTATAATACTCACTTGGACCAGATCAAAACATGAGCCTGATGGACTTGTTCTCAAGCCACTTCTTGGTTGTCTTTTTGCCAATTTTGGCAGGAGCATTGTCTTGTTGAAAAATTACATCTGATCATTCCTCTTTAAATAACGACTTTTCCTTTGTGGAAAGAAAGCTAGCAATATTCTCCTGATCTCCAAAGCATGAAATGTCTTTTCACAATGAAGTAGCTCATCAATACCAGCAGCTTAAAAGGCTTCCCACACAATGACACTCTTCCTCCATTCTTCACTGTGGTAGATATGCATTTATTATTATATTTATCAGACACTTTCTTTTAAAGACACTGCTCTGAAGCATCACTATGTAAGTGTTTCATTATGATTCATCACTCCACACACAACTTCCCATATTCTGCTAAAAACTTCATTCAGGCTTTGACGATTTTCTGAGATAGCAATGGCTTTTTAAGTAGTGCATTTGCTTAAACTTTGTTAATTTCCTGACCAATAATTTGTAGTTAAGGCTCATTTCTTTTTTTTCTTCTTTTTTTTGTATAGGTAAATATATGCCACCTCACCTTTATAATAAACAACATATTTAAACAGACAAAAAATATTTTGTGAATGGATTTTTGTGCAAAAGAGAAGAGCTTCATGTCTTACGTTTTCACCAGACAGAATTAGTCTAAGGATTTCTTCTCTTTCAGCTGCATTCTGAAGATAGACCAAAAATAATTCAGTTTTGTCCTGATTAAGATGGGCAACAGAATATAAAGGTGTGTGTGTTGACCATGCTCACAGGCAGGCCTACATGAAAGGCAGTAGGCATTCTGCGTAGTATTGCTGCATCAACATCCTGTGGTCTATTAGTAGCCCCCATCACCATTACCTGGACATTGACATACACTTTTACTTTCTGTCACATTTTATATAATAGAAAGTGTTGTTCCTAACACTTTTAAAGAAATCCAATGACCTATGAAACCTACATGTGCGTGACGTGTTACCTGACTGTTTTGTGCTGTGTCTAATCCATCCCACAGACTCATGAACTGGGCCTTCATCATAGCGGTGGCCTCATGGTCCATACTGGAACGATTCCTCAGGAATGAATCTGAGACAAGAGATAGATTTTATGTAGTTATACATTTCTTAAAACACATTATGAAACCAACACACAATCTACATTTAGTGTAGAACTACATATATAGAATCGTTAAAAGGTTTGGGGTCAGTCAGATTGTTTTGTTTTTTTGAAAAGGGACCTTTAATGCTCAAAAAGTCAATTTATTTGATTAAAGATACAGTCAAATAAAAATATTAATATTGTGAAATGTTTTGGCAAATGGCAAAGCTGAATTTTTTAGTGCCATTACTCCAGTCTTAAGTGTCACATGATTCTTCAGAAATCATTCTAATAATATGATTTGGTGCTCAAGACTTCTTGTAATTAATAAACATGTTGAATACATTTGTGTTGCATAATATTTTTGTGAAAACTAAACTAAAAAAAACTAAAATAAACTAAATAAACAAAAAAAAAAATTCAATTTGATGCAATTTAAAAACATTATTTCTTTAAAAAATCTTACTGACCCCAAACTGTTAAATGGTAGTCTATATAAAATATTTAATTCATATAGTATTTAAACATATTTATAATTTACAGTCATGTAAAATTATATACAGTGCAACTATATAGATAAAAAACAACTATATAATTTTTACATTTTAAACACGAAATTAAAGCAACAACTTTTTTGCAGCCATTGTTTCAACAATTTAGCTTTTTCAGCATCTGCAATTTAATATGCAGAACCGGCTTTAAAAGAAGAGTAACTATTTACTGACTGTTCAGCAAGTACAGTATGATAAAACGCCTGACAGACTCTGTGTGCAGCGTCCAGATTCTTCATTTTCACAGATGATGGGTTACAGTACCATATTATTCAAATGTCATCAGCATTGAAAATACAGCCGAAAACATTGCAGTCATTATGCAAATGTACATGTACCATGTTTTCCATAAAACCCATAAATAATAAACACCTGCATATCCATAGTGATTATAGACAAGCTTATCACTCAAGGAGTGCTAGAATGTATTTGGCATGTTAAACAAGTTGGCCTTGTAATATTTATCCTAACTTTCTGGAATCTGGAATATCTGTACATTTTTAGAGCACATTCAGCGGTTACCTATTTCATCAATGAAAATTATGCAGGGCTGAATCTTGACCGCCAATGAGAATACAGCAGCAGTGAGCTTTTGCGATTCGCCATACCACTTGTCAGTCAAAGTGGAGGCCTGTAGATTAATAAAGCGGCATCCAGACGCTTTCGCTGTTGCTTTGGCAATTAAAGTCTTTCCACATCCCGGTGGCCCATACAAAAGTACACCTGGGAATCGTAAATATAAAACAATTATGAATAACATACTTCACTTTGATATTTCGCATATACTCCTACCTGCAAGTATGATAAATTTAGGATTGAAAACACAAACTCCAAATGCACTGACAAGGTCAGGGCCCATTCGCTATTTCCATGACTCACCTTTGGGAGGTTGCAAGAGTTTGGAACCACAGAAGAGATGACGTTTCTGAAAAGGCAAAATTACAGTGTCTTGCAGCTCTGAGATGACCTCATCTAGCCCAGCAACATCTCTCCATGTCACCTTCAAGGAAAGGAAGAAGATATTCAATCAAATAGGCCAATACTGACTTGGAGGAGGCCGTCTGGCCAATAGACCTTAGTCAGGTTAGACGTCATTCTGAATTTCATGCTGATGAAAACATGGCTGTGATGGAAAAGACTTTCAGTCTTTACATTGGCACAGACTGTAGAAAGGTTCTGGATTATGTCCTTTTCACAACTTTTAAAACTGTTTTATGGAGTTTTTATCCAGAAAGATGTTTTGTCAAATTCCTGGTGCTACCCTGACAAAGGTCTATGGCAGGGTTTCTAAACCAGGTCCACTTTAACTCCAACCTTGATCAAACTCACCTGCTCATGTTCCATAAGTCTTACCCTCATGTCGTTCCAAACCGGTGAGTAACTGTTGGCATTTGTTTTTCATTTTTTGGTGAACTAAACTAAACAGCCAATTATGTAAGCCACAGATGTTTGTCATTCACTGTATTACATTAATGGACCCAGTTAATGATTTATAATACAAAGGTTTTTCCAAGTATTTTTGTGGCAGCGATCATGGGGGTGGGAACATGTGTGATGTAATACACACACAGCCTCACTCAGATACAGCTTTCCATTTGAGAAGCACATAAGTGATCCTGAAAATCTTGATCAGCTTGTTCAGGTGTGTTTGATCAGGGTTTGAGCTAAACTCTGCAGTAAAGTGGATCTGGAGGGCCAGAGTTGAGAACCCCTGGGATATGGTAACAATGATTACAGGTTTGCACCTTCAGCAAAAATGTCCAATCTGTCAACACAATTGACATATATTCTAAATCAGTTTGAATAATATGAACAGAGCAAAATGACAATCAATAACATAAATAAAACATGTCTTTAAGAGCATGTCCTTTTTTCAAAATCACTGATGTAATGAGATGCACGCAGTGTGATTTGATGATAGGTTTCCATTGATTACATTTACAACAGTATTGGTGTTTACTTTGATGCAGCGAGGATCAACAAGATGAGTGGCGATGTTCATCTCATACTCCGTCAGACTGACTCCTTCTACGCCTATCTGCTTCATCAACTGCTCTGCCTGAGGAGAGTGCGGGAGTCAATAAATAAAAACAATCATTAAAATATACAACATAATAATTTCAAGCTATTATCATTAGTGTTTTTTGGTGAAAATAATTAAAAGATTTGAGTCACTGCGATGAATCAATAATAAGCCATGATGACGAAAATCCCTAGGCACTTTGAGCTACAGGGTTGCATGAAATATGATGATCTGTAAATTAAGTTTTATATTCACTGTAACACTTATAATCAAATGCAGCACACAACCAGTTGCAGGTGGTCGTTTAAATTAAAGGGTAAAAAAAAAAACGTTACCCTTTTCTTGGCTTGGGATTTTTGTTTTTGTGTTGGGTCAAAAGCATCCACCACCCATTTGATGCTGTAATAAGTTGCAGCTCCAAAAATGGTCAGTCTAACCAACATCCCCACCACCTCATTCCGGGTGAGTGGGCGAAGAAGGGCGTCCCGAGGAATGTCACTCAACATCTTGGCCCGCCCCCGCTGTCAGCCCATTGGGCAAGAAGAACAAACTGGGTGTGTTGATCTAGAATACGGCACAGTATAAATAATGTGCATTTAATTAAAACCACTGTCATGTTTCTTGACAGATAAAATGAATTACATAACGACGTCAGAAAATAATATCGTTATCTTTAAAATTAAATATTTTAATTCCAATGCATGAGTAAGCCATATCCTGAGAGATAAAAATAGACGTGCGATAAAAGAGATTATTTCAGGGACCGAGATCACGGAAACCACAGTCGAGTGTGGAATCAGTCTCATAAAATAGATTAACACCATTATAACAAGTATATTTTATAAAACTCACTCACATTTCACTGCATCATCACTCACTGAAATCCTTGACGGTCGACTTGTGCAGCCGCTCTAAACTCGCCGTCCGTAAAAAAAGGTTACTCCAAGCACAGGTTCCCCTCTCTAGTTAAAAAAAAAAAATAAATAAAAATATATTTATTAAATGCAAAATGGTATGAATACTATATTTCCAACAAGAAACTGACATGGAAGGCTCAACACCAAACCAAATCCAAGTCAAAAATAAATAAATAAAAATACACTGATTGAACTTGCTTGACATAGCCTATCAAAATATCTAAGTCCGTTAAAGGATGCATGAGTCCTATTCAGATACAGTGTCTGGTTATTATAATATACTTCATGACTATCATAAATTGTAGACCATTATGTAGCTACGTCCTGTACCAATCCAGCCATCAGTTCCTTTACAGACCACATGAGGGCAAACTTGGCATATTCAAATAAACTAGTGTCAGACAGTAAGACTGAACACTTTTGATTGGATCAGCCTCCATAACAAGCCAGAAACATGGATGCATGTAATATATTGAAGGTTAATTAAACTGGAGAATGGATTATTGCTGGCATCAAGGAGTCATTATCTTAAAGAACAGGGACTGGTTTTGGCTGCAAGCCAGTTACTAAGCTAAGAATTGCTGTGTTTGATTAGTTGCCATGGAGCTCATCTTCTTGTGATGGATGTAAACTGGGAGATGCATTCATCTAATTTCTTCAATCTTTCAGTTTCAATTAGCTAGTGGAGGAAACAATGTGCACTTAGACAGCACAGCAAATGTGAATTCTGGTGACCCTCACACATAAGCAACATTTTGTTTTAATCAGTTCATTTTTAGACATTCCTGTTAGCAGAGTGTTGCTATTGGCTGCTATTCAGAAATAACATGTTTGAAATTATTCTCTTTTTATTTTTTTATTCAGCATTGTCTAAGCTAAAGAAGAGGGTACATTAACCATCTGAAATGTATTTGTAAGAAAGCATGGAACTGTATCCCCAACCCATTTTAATTTATAGCCTACAATGAAATCAAAATTGCCCATTCTTATTTTAAGAATACGAATATTGCAGTATCTTTTTATGCACATCATTATAATTTGTGTTCTAATCAAAATAACTTACTCTTGTAGCGACACCTTTTCTCTTATCTGATGATCTGATGACCTGTCCCTCACATGACATCACAGCAATAGCAAACCAACGATCCAATCAATTCCCAAAGAACAAAATTAAGTCCCGCCTTACATTTTTTCTTGTTTGAGAAGCAGTTTCACTGTACATCACATAGGGAAGAAAATACTATAACATCCGTTTCACGTCGACTTTAAATAAAATTGTTTATTGTAAATTGTTTTCTAATGAAACAGGATATTCACTGACAACTTGTATTGTAATAATTTAATGTTGAACAAATCATTTTATTAAATTAAATACAACAGATTAAAATACAGCTGATTCAGAAACACACACTGTAAAAAAAATATTGTTGGTTTAACTTAAAAAAATAAGTAACCTGGTTGCTTTAAAGGGGACATATCATGCGAAATCCACTTTTTTAGCCCTTAAATGAATTTTGTTGTCTATTTGGAGTGTTTATAAGTACAGAAAAGATGAAATTATTGTCTTCAGGTGCTTCGTTTATATCTTTATATTCTGTTTTGGTCATATTTTTCAACCTGTTCAGATTTTTTTGTTTTCTATGACATTTTTTGAACTACAACTTCACCATATTTGCAGCGGAACTGCCAAATAAAGACATCGACTTCCGGCCCAACACTTGAGCAATCTGCCATTATTATTTCTCGCTCCGATTTTGTAGTCCGAGCTCAATGATGCAGAAGTTACGAGAGGGCTAGTCAAAATGTTCGGTTTTTGGATGTAGTGACCTGAAGCACTTCAGGGATTCCCACTTCAACAACCTGATTGAACTGGAAAAAGTGAGTTAATACAATGAAGGATATTGATTTAATCATCAGAAACTCAAAATAATAAGTTATCTGAACTAAATAAATTATTTAAGTTGATTTGACAAAAGAAAAAATGTTGTGATTTCAACAACAAATCTTGAAAATATTTTTTTTTACAGTGCAACTGCCTCATCACATAATGATGTGTCTGGCGGTGAAGTGTACCACTACAGTGCAACGAGACCTGCTCACTTCTCAGTAACCTCAGCTCGACTCCCCTAACTCCTCCGAGACTAAAAGCCTCTCCTTCCCCGACTTCAAGTCACCATTGTATTGTACGTGACTTAGACTTAAAAGAATCAAGTAGTTCCTTGGGGAAATTGTTATGGTGATTGTTCCTGTCACCCCACTCCCCTCTGTTGAAAGCAAACACAAGCTATGACAGCGGTGTACACTTCAGAGGGAGCTGGATTCCCAGAGCACCCAGAATCTAATCTTTTATTATGCTGAGAAATGAGGCCAACTTTTTTTTTTTTTGCCACTGTAATTAAAAAGCTAATCAAACTGCACGGTGAGAAAAGTGGTGCAGAGATGCAGATGATTCCATTTTCATTTAAAGTAAAGCAAATTAAAAGCAGGTCTGTCACAGATTCATGTTTATTTTTATTTGATTAAATCCATTAAATTAATTAAAGTAAATATGTAATGTTTATCTGCTATTTAGACTAAAAAACAAGTCTGAAAACATGTTTGAGTCATCCAAATGTTTTTTGCTTTTTAATAAAGAGAGAGGGTATTCTTTATTAATAGTTTGAAATTTCAATTTAAAGTCACCATGAAATTAAAAAAGACAGTTCTATTGAATGTATTATAAATGATTTTTCCATCCACACCTTTTTTTTTTCAAATTCCCATGCCCTCATAATCTTGAATCAAAATAGCTTCCCCTCCCTCTTGCAATAAACATCTTCTCTTCTCTGATGACATGTTTACTTACGTGAGGTCATGATCTAATCAAATCCAAATGGACAAAACCAAGTCCAGTCCCGCCCTACATTTTTGTCCTGGCCGAAAAGCTGTTTCACTCAGATATGTTTTATGGCAACTTTAAAGATTCAGTTCTCTTAACATAAAAATGCAATTGAAAAATGACAGAACTTTTATTTCTTTAATTATAACAAAGCTTTTTAGGGTAAAGCATAAAATAAAAAAGCATATAATGTTTATACATTTTGAATCAAAATTATGTTTATTCATCTGTTTTTATTTATATTTGTTTTAAAGCATTGACAATAAGCAGTCAATATGGGCAATAGAAGATAGTACAATAAACGTTGGAAAAAAAAATTGTGCCAAATAAGAGCTGAGAAAAAAAAATATAGAACTGTATATGCAGACTCAATCTGTTCTTTCTGTGTGCAGTATCTCCATTGCAAACGTAAAGTAAGTTCCTGGTTGTCAGTGACAACCCTGTTCACCAAACCCTTCACATGATGCAATGCTGACAGATCTCTTGCACTCTTTATACTGAGTCTCAAGCCTCAAGGTGTGACCATGGGGAGCCTTGGATGCATGTGTCTAGCTCTTTATTGGCTTATAGACAAGGACGCAAACTCCAGATCATGGCATAAACACACCAAAATCTAATTACAGTCTCAGGACATTATTGGTCATTGACATTGTGAAAGTAAGAAACAAACAAAAAAACATGTTTGAATGCCATTTATTACACATTTTCTCTTTCTATGGGGAGACATTAGCCTGGGAAAACCCATAGACAGTATAAGAAGTGGACAGAGCCATATCATTGGAACTCCATTGAGACAAGTCAAGCCCGTTTTTGGCGATTTTTTAGCACTTCCGTTCCTGACGCGCAGACTCAAACCGACTCAAACAGAGCTTGATGACGTAGATGTGACGTGAGCAACCCGTCTGTCTTCTAGAGGCTGTGGCATGAGAAATCTGAATCATTCCCTTCCCAAACTTGCAGAGGTAGAGGGTGAGTAGGAGCTGTCAATGAGCTAGGAGCAGGAGAAACTTTTGCTAGGTATTCTGATTAATTATTTTGTCGTTTTGCCTCCACGTTTCCCCGATTGTGCGGGAGCTTCTCCTCCTGTCCATACGCTAATCTCTCTCCTGTGTGACAGAGAGTCGCTTGGTTATGACGCAATCGTTAGCCTACTTGACAAAAAACTGCTTCTACGGGGCCACAACATAAGCTACAAGGTAATGGAGCATTTTATACATTGTCGTGTTTCTTTAGAAATAAATAATGGACAAATGGGGTCTTCAAACGCCTCAGATGTAACAGCGCAGTCTCATCCCAAGACGTCATACTGTACAATTGACGCTTTTGACCATACATCAACATCCGCCGTTTTAGGGTACCCTTAAACGTCGGTTAGATGACGTTATCTAATCCCAACCCAGACCTAAACCTACCCCGTCACCTAACTGACGTTAAAGGTAAAGCGTCAGTTGTATGACGTCTTGGGATGAGACTGTGTTAGATGTAAAGTTATTCGCTGTCAAAGTGACGCCAAAATGAATGGGAGTCAATGGAAATGCTAACGCAAGTGAAGTTTCTACCGCGAGGCTTCAACTTTCGGTCAATGGATTTCCCCCTTGGGAAAACCCAGACAACTTCCGGAAAATTTAGATTTGCTCTGAAAGTTAAGGCTTGTTTGAGATGCGCCTTGCCTCGCCTGAAATGTATGCGAGAGTAGGCGGCTGCAGTGGGAGGAGGAGTGAAAAAAGCGCAGTCAAGCCGGACAGTTCTCCTTCTCGCAGTGGGTCAGACACCAGTGAGATCAAAGACTAGATATTGCGGGATTGACGGGATTCACGCTCGTGCATAGTGTTGCTAATAAACTGGATGTAATTTAAGTTCTGTTGCTTTTTTATAAAAATAAGTGTTCTCTATATGCATCCTTCAGGTCATATGTGTATTCTCTAAATACCCCCCTCTCTGGGTTGGAAATAATTGCATATTTCCTCTAAGCTGTGGGATATTCTCCCCAGGGGAGTCCTTCGTCTGTGCCAGTCTCACAACAGGGATCTCAGATTTACGCAGGGCACTGGAAGACAGCTGAGAAGGTGGCGTGATTAGACTGATATCCCCATTCATCGTCAACTCAGAGTGACAACGAAAGGGAAC